TTGTTAATGTTGAAATTTGCAATCACCCAAGTTCTGAGAATAGTCAACCCTTGGTACCTGAGGGGACTGTTTCTTGGAACTCTTTCAGACAGCAAATCAGCAGATGCTCAAGTGCCTTATATAACATGGCTAATATTTGCACAGAACCTACACAATCCTGTACACCTTACATCATCTCTAGGTTACAGATAATACCAACTCCATTGTAACTCCTATGTAAATAAAGTAATTCTTTAAGGACTAAAATGTGTAATAGGTAATGTGAAATAGGAAGAAAAGGGGCCAAGGGGAAGGAAGTGGGAGGGCTAGAGGAAAGGATAGAAGGGAACGGAATTAATATGAAAAAATGGAAAAATAGGAACAAAATCTTTGTAAATAGGGAGGAATGGAGGGGTTGAAGGGAGGGCCGGGCAAGGGTGAAAAATAAGAACCAAGAGAGACTACGTAAAGGTGCAAATTTCCAATGATGAATTGTATTATATTGTATACCTAAAATGTACCAATGATTAGCATGAATAATTGATAATGCAAAATAGGAAGAAAAGGTCCAAAGGGGTAGGGGTAGTGGGAGGGGCAGGGGAAAGGAAAGAAGGGAAAGGGAAAATGATGAGAAATGGAAAAAATGGAAATTAAGTGTTTGTAAATAGGGAAGGGTGGAGGGCGTGAAGGGAGGGCTAGGAATGGGGAAAAAATAAGAACCAAGATGCATCATGTAAAGGTACAAGTTCGCAATGAGAAATGTAATTGTGTTGTATACCTACAATGTACCAATAAAAGAATTTAATAAAGTAAAAAAAAAGTAATTCTTATACAATACTTAAAATTATATTATTTGTAATTGTTGCACTGTTATTTTTGTATTGCTTTTTACCTGAATATTTTCAAGCTGTGCCTGGTTGAATCTGCAAATGTGAGGCCCGTGGGTAACAGAGGCCCAAGTGTAGTAAGTTTCCTAGTAGTCAAGGTTTCAGTCATTCAAATGAGCCCTAGGGAGGCTCACTGTTCCAGCAGGACTTGTTTTTAAGGATCAGCAATAGTTTCCTTTACCAAACTGACACTCTCTAATTAGGGTCAGTTACTGCCCACGTGATTTGCTTCTGGTCTTTAGAAAACCTGACCCAACTGAACTCAGGTCTTACTCTGAATAACCACGTGCCTTGAGAACATTACTTACTTTTGAAAGACTAGATACTGCATATTGAAGCCCTAAATCCCAGGGTGTGTAGAATAAGGGGATAATTAAAGTCAAATGAGGTCATAAGGTTGGGACCCTATTTGACAGGATTAGTGCCTTCATAAGAGGAGACACCAGAGACCGCCCCCCGCCCCCCATCTCCCTCTCCTTCTCTCTTCTCTCAGCCAGGGCAAGTGCTCTCACAGGCAATGAAATCTACCATGCCTTAATCTTGGACTTCCTGCCTCCAGAACCGGGAGAAAATAAACTTGTTGTATGAGCCACCTAGTCTATGTTATTTTGCATGGCAACCTAAGCAGATTAATATAAGTTATAAAAGTAAAGCAGCGGATTTTCTAGTTTCTTAATTGGATGAAAATATACAAAGCTAAGAAACAAAACTGATAACTTCATGGGCATTTTGGTATAAACTTATGGTTAGAAGTGAGGATCTGAAGTCAACCGAAATGGGCTCCAGCCCATCTCTGCCACTTACTGGCTATGTAACCGTGTTGAACTCATTTAACTTCTCCAAATTTCATTTCCATCTTCTGTGAAAAGGAAGTAAGAATGATCATGGCATCTGCCTCATAGGACTAAGCAGTACTTGGTAAGGTCATAAAAAAATGCTAGCTGCTATTATTACTACCCAGCTGTGACTGTCACACAACACATGTAAGCTGACTGACTGTTGGGTATGGCCCCCTCCAGGTCTCTCATGCACAACGGATAGGTTATTCATACAGTGTTTAACACTGGACTTTTGAGATCAGGATGCCTGGAGGAGTGACTGATGGGGACTTAGAAAGGCAAGAAACCAAGGATTTGTCTCAGTCACTTGTCCACTGGGGTCATCCATCATTCCAGGAAGAATCCATTTTTGAGATGCATTCATCTCATACCATATTCAAAACACAATGAACTCTGCTAGAGACTGTACTTCCAGAAAGACAGGAACCTCTTGCCCATCAATTCCTGACCCCATGTCACAGGCCACTGCACAGGCTCATGATGGAGTAGATGAGAGGGAAGGAGATGTCAACGAGAGAAGAAGAGAGTCTGAGAGAGCAAGAAAGTTCCTCTCTGCCTGGCTGAAGAACAGAGAAAATTTGTAAGACAAATATTTTCCAAGGAATTGTGGTTTTCCTGGAAAAGTGGAAGCAAGTGCTGAAGTTGAGATAATTCTGCATGGCTTTCCATGATGATGAACTCAGAATGGCTCCAGTTCAGGGTCTTAGTTATTTCCTCCAGCATTCTACCAAACCATTAACCACAGTCATGCTCTTTTAATTGTGCTTGGTGCCTTTCCATTGTCCCATGTTTTTCTTCAAGCATGTCAACCAAACAACAGACACTGAGAACATATCATACGTCTCCACTTAGAGTTCTGGAATTCTTAGTTTATTAATTCTTTCTGACATGGCCCACATGTCTCTAGAGTAATTAGTAACAGAACGGGGTTAATGGAGATGCCTCATGGTGATACAAATTTATTATGACTGATTGCTCACTTATAAAAATTAAGGAAGTCTAATTGAGTTTAAACCCAAAAGGACAGCCCTAGACTCACAGTCCCTAGACATCCCTGCTGGTCTTATCCTGAATATTTAAGAGACTGACAGGTACAAAATAGCAAGAATATAGTGTATTTTTGTGCATTTAATTTTACATGATATGGAGGTACAGTTCATAGATAATATAGTCCATTCACTGGAAAGGAACAAAGGAAGCCAGGGAGACTGGGCCAATTTAGACATCTTCAATCCTTCAGATAGAGACAGTCCCATGGGTATGAGGCCACTCAAGGTTCAAGGCTCATAACTGAAGCCCCGATGTGTCTCATCCATTAGATAACTAGATAAATCAGAGTGCCTTGTGAGGTAACAAATTCTGTAACTCTTCTGTTAAAACACTTTGTCTACTGGTCTGCTCTCTCTTCTTCCTAATACTGGCAGATGCTTTCTAGCTCACACTGCAAGGACTGAAGTAGCTTCTCTGGCTCAGGTCATTCTGTTCACTAGTGCTTTGGAGGCACACAACTCAGAGTTGGCCTTAGCAGTGACAGCCCTTCAGCTTCTCCTCACCCTGCTCATTCTACACTGTGACCCAGGAAAATATTTTACACACTGGTTTCTATCATATTGTCCCATGCTAAAAGCAAAAAACAAAAAACAAAAAACCCTCCAAAGCCTTTCCCAGTGTCCAGGGAATAAATCTACATCTCTGGATGCCTTTACCTAGTGAGTCTTGCTTTTCAGCACAACCAAAATGAAGTTTCTGCACCAGCTAAGCCCATTGTCCAAGGACCCCAAACCCTGCCACCTCTTAGCCTTGTCCAGGGTCTTCTTTCCTGGAATTCCTTCTCTCATTCTCTACAACGCCCTTAACGCTTTAAAAGTCAATTCAAGCTTCAGACTTCTCAGCAAACTTTACAAGCATGCACTGACCCCACAGATTCCTCCAAATGACAGGTATCTTAGCCATATACATGAAATCTATCTCCTTTCCCTATAAAGCACAGCTGTTCCTCAGTATCAGAGGGGAATTGATTCCAGGACCTCTGTGGATACTAAATTGCAAGGATGCTCAGGTCCCTTATATAAAATGGTGCTGCATTTGCATAGAAGCCACGCACAACCTGTGTAAACTTGAAATCATCTCTAGATGACTCACAATCCCTAGTACAATCCAAATGCTATGTAAATAGCTGTTACATCGTTGTTATATTTAGGGAATAAAGACAAGAAAAGAAAGTCTGTACACATTCAGGGCAGATGTAATCCCCCTGCCCCAAATATCTGTGACCTCTGGTTGGCTGCACTAGAGATGTGGAACTCATGGACGCAGAGGCTGACTGTGTGTGTTTGCAGGGCGGCATCCACTTTGATACCTGGCACAGTATTCTGTCTACAGTAGGCGTGTTGAGTAAATAGGTGCTAGGAGGTGGGAAACCAAGCCCTATAGACCACTGCTGCAGAATTCCTGTCAGTCCTAGAGGAGACACTTATTGTTCTACCTCAAAACAGGTGAATATTCTCCCCTACCTCCACCCAATTACACTATAAAGATCAATGATATAGTATTTGTAAAAATGGAAAATATAGTGCAAGAAGACAGTTGACTAGCATCAGCTAGGATTATCATCAGGGTTGTTTTCAAACTTTTAACGTCTTTGATTATACTATAGCCTTAAGTCACAAAGCAGCATTTGATTCATGTGCAAACATGTAGTGAAATACAATTTCATTGGTTACCCAACTTCATAACTGGGTACATTCAGTGCCACTTCAGAAATGAAAATGTCAAAATTGTTTTAGGATAACATTGTTAAGCTTATTCTTCCACTAGAAATATTTCCCACATACTCTGCAGATTATTGTCTTTGCTTTTTCTTTCTTTAAGAGAACATACATTATGGAAACAGATTGTAATAGGAGAAATACACTGGGTTTTAGATAAAAACTTAAAGACAAAACATACAAAGCCTTGACAAATTCATTATGACAGAAACAAAGCATGATTCTTTATCTTTGCAAACATTTCAATGTCAAATCTATTCTGCCTAGATGGGCAAATAATCTTGAAGTGGGCAAATAATCTTGAATTAGGCACATAAATACAATGTACGTATTTACAGATACACATGGCTGAAGGCTTTTGGCATATGTCCATGAATGTATGCACCAAGACACAGAAACACCTGAACATCCCACAGGGCAACCTCCCCAGAGACGTGCACTCAGGCCCCAGATAAAAGAACAAGCAAGCAAGAAAGGATCCCTTGAAGGGAAGGAGGGCTGCACTCCCCGAAGATGTGTCCACTCACCTGTTAAGTGGTTGGCAATCCGGGCAGTGGGTTTGGGAGGCAGGGCCGGGGGCTGCTTGAGAAGGGACAGCTGCTTCACTGGGGTCTCCTCATGGTCTCCAGAGAAAGCAGCAGGTTTTTTGGGGGGAAGTAGCAGGACTGGTTTGGCTGAAGGATCTTGGGACAGGAGGACTCCAGACTCACTGGCAGAGGGACTCTCTTCAGACACTGAGGGGACAACCACATGATACACAGGAGACATTACACACATGCAGTGCAGGTGGGGCTGGCTAGGGACACAGGACAGAGAGGCAGGCAGGCTGGCCAGACAGCAGGCACCAACTGCCCCAGGTTGTCATACAAAAGCAAGGACATCAGGGATCTGATAGAGCAGGAAGCATGGAGAAGGGACAGAGAGGAGACAGAGGAAGACAGAAGAGAGAAGGGGAAGGAGAAAGAGGAGAAAGGAGGAGGAAGGACATTTTTTCATAAAAAATATCACCATTTCAAACTATGCTTATTAGACAAAGTCTATGGATGCTCACGGACAGACCACAGCAACAGTCAACAGGATGGCAGGTGCAATAGATCAATCACGGGAGTCCCTTAAACCCAACGAGGAGAACCCAGTGCTGGGCCCTTTGCTAAGGCCCAGGTGTTCTTGCTGGGGATGAAGAGAGAGTGGATTCAAACTGGTGAAGGTCTCTGTGTTGCCCACTGGGGCTTGCTTTGTCCCTCCTCTCAGGGCTGGGGCAGAAGGTGCTCCAGAAGGTTGGTGCTGAACAGACAGCTCCCCCAGGTCCTGGAGCAGCCAGTACTGAGAGGTGCCCCCCCCCCCGCCCGCCGCCCCCGGTCACAGGACTCTGGTCATGGGGAACACCCTTGCCCTGCCAGCTCCTGTGATCTCTGACCAGGCAAAGGATGCTCACAGCCTCTCCTTTTGTATCTTTCTCTTTCTCCTCTTCTCTTGTCTGCCAGAATTTTGGTGGTCTTGTCTCAGTTCCCCTGTTTATCTTTGCTCTGTTTTGGGCCTGGTTCTGTCTTTCCCTATAGGATCCCCCAGTGGGCTCCCCTTGGGAGCTGATGGTAACACGTACCTTTCTACTGTTCTGGCAGCTTGGGTGAAGACAGGGTGAAACTATGGTTTTGCTGGGATGACAGACTTCACTAAAACAATCAAATCTACCCAATTTCAATGTCAAAGGAAGACTAGGTTAAAAAGAATCACTGCTCTCTCCTTGGAAGACTCTCTTTGGAGGGGAGAATGTAACTCGGTGAGAAAGCTCATACTATATAATGCCTTCCCTCCTTCTACCTGCAAAGAATCCCCAGGAGCATGGAATTCTCACCGTCTCAAGGGAGATCCTTGCTGTCAGAGTCGAACACACTGAGGGAGCCAGGACTTGCCAGGCCCCACGGTGCAGCCCAGGAATGAATCCCTCCCATTCACCCACATGAGCACCTGTGCACATGGGTTTGCACCTGGCATGCGTAAAGGACGAGGCTTTTCTGCCCATACTCCGGATATTCCAAGAGGTTCCTTCCTGCAGACTCATCTCCTGATGACACACACCGTTCCTATCTGTTGCGAGGGACTCATCTTTGGGCCAACTTGATTACTCTGCAAAGCTCCTGAGAGGAGTATTGGCCACTTGGGTGACTCTGGACCAGAGAGGGAGGCAATGGTCTGATGATTTCAACTGGGAATCATCTATTGGCAGACCCCCACTTACCCAGAAAATTGTACACAATTTAATCAACAATTAAATTAACTGACTGTATCTAGTAAACTGATATAATCATTAATTGGTATACTGGGACTAGAAATTAAAGGACATGTCCAGGCCTTTTGAACAGGCAAATTAGATAGATACTGTACGGAACATAGGAGTCTTTGCTTTAACAGAGATTCATGTTAGAAAACAAAACAGTGATATTTAAAATCATTAATGTGATGAAACAAGCTATATTTCCTTTAATATGATTAGAGTCATAAAAAGGTTTTTAACAACTGTAGAACAATAGGTATAAATATCCCCCATATTTTCTTATCCTAATAAGTATGAAGAGCTGATAGGTCGGTTCCATCCACATTTCCAGATTCTTATGCAGAGGATGGTGTAAAATGGAACCCAAAGTCCAGCCAGGCAGAGGTGTCCAGGGTGACCTTCTGGCATCCTGGCTGTTGACCCTGCTAGTGGCATTACCTGGCCCATCCATGATGTCTGAAGCTTGGAGCACCTCGTATGAGCAGGGATCCCTGGGCATCGGGACCGGCTCCATTTCGGACAGTGCAGGCAGAGACAGCTGGCTGGAACTCAGGGACTGCCCGTTTTCCAGGGAGTCATCTTCATTTGATATGGAGAGCTCCCCATCTGTCAGAGAGAAGGCGATCGCAGTTAGACCATGTCTGCCTCCCAGGAAAGGTGACACTTAGCGCCTGCTAACTGAGTCCAGATGCTTTTGAACCAGCTTTATCAAGGTCAATATCTAAAGGTGACGTCTGTTCTTTTGCTTTTAAGACATTTGTTTTATTTATAGAGATCAGTTGTCTATCCATCGGCGCAACACTATCCAATGATCCTCAGCAACTTGCTTGTTTTCTCTCTATCTTTCCTATGCTCTGTTTATTTTTTTTTAAAGGAAAGTGAATTAAAGTTAAATTTTTGTTCTAATTTTTAAAAAGTTGGAAAACTTCAGTGGGCTTCAGACATGGGAAAACAAGGATTGAGAATTCCCACTTTCAGGAGAAAAGGGATTTATGTCACTGAACAAGAACATGGTTCCCTAAGGTCCCAGGAAAATATTCATCCTGGCTTCTATTCACCAATTCCTTTAGTAGCTAAGCATTTCCAGAAGCTCTGATCTCTAGATCTCTATCTAACGGGCTGCAGCAGCCCCGTTGGAAGTGCCAGAATTCCTCCAGTGCCGACCACCAATCACGCCCACTTTGATCTTGGTTACAGCTCAGTGGCACAAGGGGCAGCTGGTTAACACCACAGTGGAGGATCAATGGCTCCCATATAATGGCCATTTGTCATATCAAAAGTTCCCCACTGTGACTTCATCTCAGCCCCGGGAAGTCTCAAATGACTAGACATTAAAGTCAAATTAATTTTTAAAGAGGATTAAAAGCTATTCCAGTCAGATGAATAAACACTAGATGAAAGACAATGTATGGATACTCAGAAACTCAGAAACCAGCAAAGCAATTACCTGACTTAACACAGGAAGAAAGATGACTCAAGGTAGAAATGAGGTAACTCCAGGGTTAATCTTTTTCTTTCACTATGTTCCTATCAAAGTTCTGATTCATCCATCACTGATACACGGTGGCACAGGATTCCTCCAGTCCACCGCATCAGAACTGGCCAGTGAAGTGTTCAACGGAGTAATCTACCAACCAATAAGCTTTCAACAGCACATGATTCAAGGACATATGATGCTTGACCTGAATCTTTTGCAAATATTAAAAAAACTATTGAACACTCAAAAAATCATCTGAAGCAGACACTAGAAAGCACTGGCATTTATAGAAGGGTTGACTTTTTTCTTCTTATTCAGCTCGTTAAAAAAATGTCCTATACAGTAGTAGAGGTTATTATAATTGGAATGAACAATCTGATTACTATTCCTGATTAAGAACACAAGTGCAGTGCAAATGCTGAGGCCAGTGCTATGGAAATCGCACAGCTGAGCTGGGAGTCCAGGATGGCAAGGGCTGAGGTGTGTTAATGTAGCGCTATGGGATTGTCCCCAGCCCTCCTTACATGGTTTATTTAGGATGTTCAAGCTGACATGATGAGAAGTGGCTATGCTTAAAGTTACCAGTTGGTGGTATAATGACACAGCTACCATTCAGTTCAATGCATCTCCAGGAGACCACTTTGATTTCTGATGTTCCAAGAATATTCAAAGTCCTGGACAAGGCAACCTGGGGAAGGGGGGTGTGCCTCGGTGCTAGTGCCAAGTTCTGCTGCTTTGGGGAAAAGATGCAATCGAGTGCTTAGCATCCACTCTGACCTGTAGCCAGAACACAAATGCAACACTGGGAAGAGATATCATTGCAGCTGGATTGTTTTGACCCTAAGATTCTCAATGTGAGAAGCTTTGCTAGTAACTGAGAAGTGATGTTGCTCACTCCTCTTTGGATGTATTCACTCTCAAAAAATGGAGCTCCCCGAGGAGTCAAAAGACCTTTGCTAGATCACAAAGGCCCAAACCACTTTGGGGAGAAATTACTCGAGGGGATTCCATTGTCCTATCTGCTAAATGCACATTTCCAAAAAACATGGGAGAAGAAATAAGACACTGATCACAGCACCATCCTATCTAACAGAAGCAGTTTCTGTTGTAGTCCTACTGTGGTTGTAGTACTACTATGTTATCAAATTTTGCATCTTGTTTTTTTATTACCATAGGCAAAATTTGCATGGTCATCACCTTAATGATTATTCTATATTGGATGACTACAGAGACACTAACTTAACTATTTCCTTATGGCTAGTCACAAAACAACTTCCAGTGTTTTATGCTATTATGAAAACAAGGCTGGAAAGACCATCTTCCTGTATAGAATTTGTTTTCCTGCAATCAGAATTCTCCCTCTTCAGGATAAATTCCAACAAATCCAATCTGGGTGTGAGAGTTGGGAAAAGTCAGGGTGAAAAGTTGTTAAATCCTGAGAAATAAAGGAACAAAGGAAGGAAGGAAGGAAGGAAGACAGCAGATGTGCACTAAGAATATGTGGAGAGTACATAGTGGAGGAAGATCTTGTCCTGCATAGAATTTTTCAATGTTCTAAAAGTGCAATATATTTGAAAGTTCTATCCAGAGTTTTAGCTCAGAAGACACATTTTTAAATGTTTTGTGTTTTCACTAATTGCACCTACCTCTATGGAAGTCACAATTGTGACTATATTTCAAGTACCTGGTTTAAAAATTTTAATCATATATTGTTTTGCTATTGTCACGTGTTTTATATCAGGGCTTACTATGGTTTGGATGTTGAATGGTCCCAAAGGCTTTTTTCCCAGGGAGGGACTTTTGGGAAGTGCTGTGGTCCTTTAAAAGGTGTGGTCTAGAGGAAGGTCCTTAGGCTATTGGGGTTGTGTCCTCAAAGGGGACAATAGGTCCCTGGTTTCTTTTTCTGCTTCCTGCCTCACAATGTAAGAAGTTTTCTCTGCCTCATGTTTCCCCCACTTCCACCTGACACCCCCCCCACAGGCCTATGAACGAGTTCTTCAATTTTAGACCAGAACCTCCAACACCATGAGCCAAAATAACTTTTTCTCGGCATAAATTAATTATCTCAGGTATTTTGTTACAGTAACAAGATGCTGACTAACAAAGGGAGATTCCCTGGTTTTGGGGGGATAGACTCAACCTCTAATCAATTAAAATTTTTCTCAAAGCTAAGGGTTAACTGAAGTTGTTATTTATAGATGAATGTCATCACGGAGGATAGGTGACAAATTCAATCAGGTTCTCATAGACACTTAGATAACAACAGTTTCTACTTTTAAAAAAATTACACGAAAAATGGACTTTTGCTTTGAGAAAGTATAGAGTTTATGGCCCTGTGGGGACCTAAGATAAAAAAGTGTCAATTCTAATTCCGAAAAACAAAAGTATTTTAATAAACTTAAGCTCACCACGGAATCTGACTTTCTAGGCTATGAATTATGGTTTATATAAAAACCTATATTTAAAAATTATTTCTTATAGAATAAGAACTCTTTGAAAAATAATAGTTGACTATGGGTATGAAAAAGAATTACTTTGTATCTATATGCTGAACCATAAATAAATTTCATATATTTCATATGGATCAAAAAATGAAAACCCAAACTGAAAAACTAGAATAAATAAGAATAGAAAAATAGTAGAAATAAATATATATTTATTTGTTCAGGCTGTGCAGAAGGAAGCCAGATGGATAGCTTTGACTTACTCATAAAACTTCCTGATTTTTAATTTGGGAAATGGAATGCTGTATACCAAAAAGAAGAAAAAAAGCAACATAATGGAAAAATATGAGCCAAACATAGCTTATAAAAGAACTATTTCAAGAAGAAAGAATATTTGTTCAGGTAAATAAAAACGAATCCCAGGTGCCACTTGCAAAATGCATAACCTTGCTGGGACGGAGAAAAATCCAAATGAAATGTCTGTGTGGGTGATGCTGATACAGGAAAATGTATTTGAAGTAATGTCAAGTACAACATCAGGAATTAGAACAATATGCACATGTCGGTTACAATGACACCAAAATGAAATATGCATGTAGGTTGGCAGTGTTCTGAAGGGAATCTGGCATAATATAAGTAGAGTTTAATGACCATTAACTTGTTTTATCCCATAAAAATGCTAATGTTTATTTCTAAAAACAGAAAAATTTGCAGGCTGCCTCATTAAGTTAAATGAAAAAAATAAGTTTTTGTTAGAGGGGAAATGCCTTCTCCCCTCCTTTGGTTCTTGGCAGGAGGAATTTTCCATAAGTGCTCTTGATTTTTGCCCAGTTTTTTACTGTATTCATAGAGTTAGCCCACTGCTAGGTAAGATGCAACCACTGGTTCCTATTTCTCCCCTGGAGGAGCTTCAATCTCTTCCTTCCTACCCTGGAGCAGTTCAGAGTCAACACTCAGACTTCCTCCCTTGCCGGGTTGATTGCGGGTGTCCAGGATGGGGAGTAGGAGAATCATCAGGTCTACTTACGATTTCCTCCAGCCCAGTCTTTAACAGACCCTACCATGAGCTCCTGATTTATCTTATTTTTCCAGTGGTTTAGAAATACAGAGACAGAAGAATGGTACTCATAGTGGGATCCTCAAATCTCTAATGATTTGGAGGGAACAAAGGGAACAAGGGAAGAAAGTATTTCTTCCATCTTACATAAAAAAAAAAAAGGAAGGCATCATGGATGGGTGACACGATGGGTAACAGTGTTACCCAGGCTTTCCTTGGAAGCCTGCATTGCAGCACACAGAAGGTGCTGGTGAGCACCCCTAACTTATTCTGGGAGAGGCAGGGGATGAGAGCAGCATAGAGGAGTGGCAGAGCTGGACTCAAGAGTATGGGGAAACCAGTGTCACCATCCTGCCAACAAACTCCTTAACCTCTGGGGACTTGGGCTTCTGACCTTTGACATCAAGATGATGGTCAACCTCTTTCCAGATCAGCGTACTCCCTGCATGAGAAGAGAAGCTGGAAACGATGACAGTAAGGCCCCTACTCACCCCTATACTTCAAATCAGCCTGAAATAAGACATGAACCAAAGCAGCAGAGCATTTTACATTTAGATTTTCTTTTTTTGGCCTGACTTACTCTGTTTGGACACATTATAGTGAGAACTGGGAAGGAAACGGATGTATT